ATATATATATATATATATATATATATATATATATATATATATATATATATATATATATATATATATTTTCGATATGTTATATACAAAAATTATACAAATTTTATACACTTTTTCGGCTACCTGGCGCATCCAAAAAATGATAATACCCCTATAAAAAATCTTATCGATAAAGTGTGTGAAGGATCTATATTTCTTTATTATGTTAGTAACTTAAATAAAAGGGTCAATTGCTTCCGAGTCACAGCATAAATATGTGAAGAATTTTAAAATAAATACAAAATAAACTTCCGAATTCTTTAAGTCTAGCTAGATTTAAAATCGATATGATATAAATCTTCCACGAAAATAAGGAAAAAAAAGAAGAACAATTATTTATGTTGTTGATTACAACATACAAATCATAACCCTTTAATTTACTTAGAATTAAGGTAATCAGCATTAGTTCTTGGCCAGTGTTCCTCTAGTCTTTTCCTCACCATTGATCCACCTGCACACATACTTTAATTAAGTTATATATATATTTTTCAACCACAATAGGATAAATTAAAATTAAATTATACATATTATATGCCAACTTACGTGGTAAACTCTCTATGAGCCCTTCCCATAGTTTTATCATAAGCCTTTCTCATACTAGAATTAATCAGAACAAAATAAAGTCAACATGTTAATCAAATTTAAAACAAAAATTAGTTAAAATTATGTATGAAAGACACATGTCTTATATTCAAATAAGTCTAAGTGAATTGAAATTGCTCTATGATTGATTTTCTTAAAAAAAAAATAGCCCTGTGCACAAAGTATCCCGCATTCATGCAGAATTCGGGAAGACAAATATCGGTGACTGATTCAACGGCTCGAACCTATGACCTATAGATCGCATAAAAATAACTTTACCGTTTCCTTATCTACCAAAAGTAAAAGGAATAAAATGAACTGAATTAACTCAAAACCAACTAATTAAATATATCAAATATGCACTACCGATGATTTGAGTTAAAATTAGCAAAAGGTAAAAACTCACTCAAAATTGTTTATGAAAGCAGCAACGCCAGTAAACAAGACGCCTGCAACTGATATAATAAAACATCAAAATATTACCAGTTAAGCAGAATAAAGTTTTTGGTTTTTTTTTTTAAAAAAATATATATTTTATTAAAAACAAAAAAAAGGAGGAAACTAGCACAAAGAGGCTTTACCTGCTAATTCTTCAATAATTTTACACATAGTTTCACTTCTATCTTCCTTAAAACTGAAAAAAATAAATTTGATTTTTTTTTTAAAAAAAAAAAGATGTCAGAAAAACAATATACTAGTATCTGTTTTTCTTTAAATGTAGATATTAGCGATGAGTTAAGAATAAGGGTAAAACTAAAACCCTAACCTGCAAGCAAGCTTAATAAATTCCCCAACTAAGATAAATCACAAACTTTTTTTTCTAAGTTGGTACTTTTATAGTGTAGATCTATTAATTATTGTAACTTGCAGGAGAAGAAAGTTTTTTTTATAAAAATTACACCTCGCATTAAGTGTCAAATATATGAGTTGGGTCAAGTTTGGACAAAGATTGAGTTGATTAATGGGTTAATCCGACCCGTCCAAAAACAATTCTTGGGCTATAATAGACAGGCCAATTCGGGTAAATTCTCTAAAATCAGAATCGTTTTTACACCTAATGCATGACATATATTTGCATATGAACTTCCATCACACGCTTAGTATATTTTTATCGTATTAAATTACTTAATTACGGTAAGTTGATATATTTAGTATAACCCCAAGAGAGGGTAAGTATTTACCTTAGTTCTTTTTGGCGCAAAAGATTCTTTTATGAGTTTTGTTTACATTCCTTAGGGGGTCGTTTGGTACGCGGGAAAGGTGTGGGATAAAATTTATACCATATTTGATTAACAATATAAATTTATGCTAGGATAAATTTATACCGCCAACCAAACATGGTATAAATTTTATCCGAGACTTAAGACTAGATATCCCACCTTATCCCATCAAACTTGGGATTATTCTATCCTACCTCCCAGGTGGGATAAATTAGTCCAGAAGTATAATCTCGGAATAATTTAGTCCGCGAACCAAACGATCCCCGAGAGTTTTACATCTTGAAACCCCTCAAGAACTATTGATCTTTTCAGACAAAGGTCTTTTTCCAAAGCTAATAATATTAGCAAGATCTATTATCAAAAAGAAGAATGGGAGAAAATATGTACAGAGATGCTCAATAAAATTAGTGCCCCCAACCCCCCAAACCGCAGGCCTCCTTTCTTTTGGAGCTAAAAGCCTTAAAATTGCAGCATCATGTAAAGTATCAACAGTCAGATTTTTGATTAATTATGTCGTGCTGCTTCCATAAGCCCGGTTCTGAATGTGGAATATCGGTTCTGTATCTAGCTTCTTCTCTCTCATTTGTACTAACCACTGTAACACGCCTCGGAGGGTCAAGAACAGTATTACTCAAACAAGCTCCCTTTGTGATTCATTTTGATGAAGGTGTTGGAACTCTGTTTCTGGATGTGGAGTATCATCTGAATCATCACTACGATTGACAACATCGACATCACTGTCATAAACCCCTATGTATGCATCATCTCCTTCCTCCTGTTAAAGAACGGAGTTAGAGGATTTGATTATAATAATATTGAAGAGTCAAAAACAAGAAAAGGGTGCATCTTTATTGTGCACATTGTGAAGCAGGAAGTTGCACTGTCCTGAATGACCACCCTTTTAACTTATCCTTAACCATAGCAAATCATAGACTGATGCAATAAAACAAGGCTAGCAAGGATATTTTTATGGTGTTTTTGCATTGTGTTCGTATGTGGATAAAACATCAAAAAAAAAAAAAAAAGGGCAGCCCGGTGCTAAGCTCCCGTTATGCACGCGGTCCGGGGAGGGGCCGGACCACAAGGGTCTATTGTACTATTTGTACGTAGCCTTACCCTGCATTCCTGCAAGAGGCTATTTTCATCGCTCGAACCCGTGACCTCCTGGTCACTTGGTAGCAACTTTACCAGTTACGTCAGGGGAGGGCTCCCCTTCAGGATAAAATCATCAATGAACGAGGAAATCTGCATGTATTCATCTACATATATGCTTGGACATGAAGAGAGCGGGATGGATATAGAGGATCCATACAACCTACCGGCCCTACCCTAACTAATTTGGACTTTAGGTGTAATTGATTGATCGATAAAAAAGACACATGCCACTTATCTAATGGGCTCCATTTGCCCCAATAGCGGCAGCATTTATTAATGCTTGATTAAGCCAGGTTGGCATTGATCTAACGCCACGTCTTGGCCTGAGCTAGAATAGTGCTTCAACAGGAAAAATCTAGATTATTCAGGCCTACTTAATTAATGGCCTAGTAGCCAATTCCAGTTCTAATCTCCTTGACAAAGAGAAACAGAAATGATATTCCATGTGCAATCTAAAAAGAAGAAGAAAGAAACTGAATAATCAAGTGAACATAAACGCCAGATGGAGATAGTAACCTCACTATCCTCGTCTTCAGTTGAATAAGCAGAATCTAGCTTATCATATAGTTCATCATCTCCAGAGTCTTTCACACTAGCCAGTTGCTCCTACCATCATAAACATATGGGACAAAAGGTTCAACTCAAATCCAAATGAGACGAGAATTACCAACTAACATAAGGATCTATTCACGTTTAAGAAATAAAAGGCTAGAAATAGATGTTCGTAGCAAAGAGATCATACAATTTCAGCTGTAAGCTGTTGTACTCTTGTTTGAACTGTTGAAATATGCTTCAGAAGTGCCTGTTAAAAAAGCAGTAGCAAAGCCTTGTCATCAGCACAAATCTCTTCAAAAGATTAAATAGCAACTCTTACAGTAGCAGATTCAAGCAACATAAACCAAATGGGCTGATGATTGCTTTTCAATCATTAGGAAAATGACGTGTACACAGCACATAAAAGAGACTACATTTTCAAGACTAAGGAATTAGGCAAAAGAAGGTACCTCACGTCTCTGAAGTTCTATTGAACGTGCCAGTGCCTTTCTTTTGGTTAAAAGATTTTTGGGCCTCAGAGTAGGTGGCCGACTGTAGTCCTTACCACGGAACACAATTATAGCATATCCTTTGGACACTTTGTCCACTGAAACCAAAACGCCCCCACTCTCCGCTTCAAGGGCTAATGCAATTTTTGATACTTGCTCAAAATTCTTGGCCTTCACCATGATTTTGACCAGTTCACGGTACTTCCAGTGCAAGTGCATATTCTCCACCGTACCATCAAAAATTCCACGCCTACCTGGAAAAAAGAGCTTTCCATGTCATTTTCTGTTTGTTAAGCACAAAAAATTTGAGTCAGAGAAAGAATGTTACCCAAAAGTAAGAAAGCTTTCATCCTTAGCCCAAGCTTCCGAAACATAAATCTCTCCTCATCTGTTAAGCTATCAGGCTCTGCACGCCTATCCAACGGATTTAAAGTTTCCTCCACCTTTGACAACACACGCTCAGCTTTCATTAACTTTCTTTCCGCCTGAAAAAGTACATTTCGCTTTATTGTCTCTACTGGACTCTTGAATCTCCAAGATATTACAGAGTGAGAACTCTTGAATCTCCAGTAAAAATATGATTTTAATAAAAGTAACCTGATTTGCAGAACTTACAAATGCAAGCTTCTTTTCGAGCTTCCTGACCAAGTCAGCATGCCTTACTATTTCTGCTTCTCTCATCACATTTTCCTTGTCCTTGTCGTCCAGCCTTTTCCCCCATCTAGCATCAGCATCCAAAGTTTCTCCTAGTGTGCCAGCTGTCCTTGAAGAATCAATTGTTGCAACACCTGCTGTGAGTGAGACTGATGCTCGTAGCCTAGCTTGCTCTTCTTCATCTTGCAACGTCTTTGCCAATGTCTCTTTCTCCAACAAGGCTTCTGCAACCTCTGGTGACAAAAAATCTTTACCTCTGTAAAATACCAAGAAGTCCTTGTTTCTAGAGAGTAGCATGCCCCCTGTTAATTTCTGAACCAAAACCAAATTATACATAGATATTATAAAGCTACATTGCTATGTTATAGACAATCAGTTAATACAGGAAGAGTAAGTATTTGGCCTGTGACAGAAAATATCTGACTCTTAATTAGATATCCGAAAAATGTTAAACTCAGTATGAACAAAACAATTCACTCCAGTGGCATTTTTTCAATTACAAAAACCCTATAATCTTCATATCATCTTCCAGGTTTGCTTGTAACAGCCTCATTTTTGGTTGGACAAACACACAATACCATTGCAATATGCGTTTATGAGACAATACCTTTGCAACATGTACTTTTTAGACATTTAGATTTAGGTGAATTGCATAATTCATTCATTCTTATGTGTATTTAAGTCAATTTTTTTCTTTTCTTTTCTTTTTCATTCCTTTGCCTTTCAGTTGTAATGATATTCTGGCTTGTGTTTGAATCAATAACTGTCCGTAAGATCTGTTGGACCAAAAAAGTGCAACTTGAAAGTAAATAACTA